AGGTCTTCAAAGCCCTACTATTTAAACACATGATACCCTACTTAAACAAACCCTAGATAGCTGAAACCCATACTTAAACAAACCTTCATTTAAACCCCTATGTTCTTCTCTTCAAAGCCCTACTAGTTAAACACATAATACCCTGCTTAAATAAACCCTAGATGGCCAAAACCCATATTTAAACAAACCTTCATTTAAAATCCTATGTTCTTCTAAGTTTTAGTTAATAGATTAAGGATATATTCGAAGTAGAATAATGCTTCCAAAGTATATGTTGTATTTTCTAGTAAAAGTCCAGGAATATACTACTCATGGAGTGAATGTTCTCCTATGGTTATCGGGGTTAAGCGTAGCATCTTCCAGTCTTTCAAGTCTCACGATGCGGCCATATCGGCATTCGATGAATTTGAAAAATCTGCGGAAGGTAAACAAAAACTCAAATCTATGGTGTTTGTTGTTTTTTATGGTAAGAAGTCGGGAATATACAAAAGTTGGTCTGAGTATGTTAAAGTGCTTGTTGGAGTCGAGGGTAGCTACTTTCATGCTTTCCAATATTATGATGAAGCCTTAGAAGCCTTCAACAAATTTAAAAAAACAAGTTTTCACAGGAAAAGTCATCTTCAAGCTTGGCCGTTGAAGAAAGTGAAGAAGTGGTAACAAATGAAAGTGCAACAAGTGCTATTTTATCTACTATGTTAGCGGCATATTTATTGGGTTGAAGCTATCTGAAAATGTTGGAAAGTAATTATGTCAAATTTAGCTCATATGTTATCTTGTATTTGAAAAGTGTTTGTTATTTCTCTTTGGTGTGCAAGAGTTGATGACTTTGTTTTTACTTTTGAATATCTAGTATTGTAATGAAGGTGGGTATGATTATTTTATGTTTAATTTCTTCATTAGTTCATTATCTATGAAGTTCGAATTTTGTGACTTCTTTAACATTTCGATCATGTTTAACCTTTGGTGTGATCTTTATCCGGTTAATATGTGGTTTATGAATTATGTAGATTTCAAAAATGTAATAATAAATGTTTAAGTATTAAATATTTGAAGCAATCAGCTTAGGTGACACTTTTGGATAACATTATTTTAGTTTCACTAGAATTAAAATCAGACATTGTGTTATTTAATTTTCTGATATATTTTGGTCTGATTTTTGTAAATAAACTCTGTATTGATTAAGTAAAACCAAATACTATTTAATTACATGCAAATATTTCCAACTTGTTACTTGTAGAAATTTTGTGCTGGTTCAATTTTCTGAATTAAAGCTTTTGAAATTGGTTAAATTATTTGAGACCTACATATGTTAAGATCTACATAATTCACGGTGAAGCTTAATTATGCATCTTCTTTCGTTTTAATTTTCTGAGATATGCCTCAATTTTTTAATTAATTTAGTGAAATAGAAATTTCACCTACACTATGTTAGCATTATTGTTATGGCTATTCTTCCTTAATTTATTCTTTTAATATTAGAGTGATAATTTTTATATTGTTATAGATAGGCAAAGTGACCATATTTTTACCTCAAAAAGGGTATTTCTTTTGGTTCCATAATATTTGGAACCAGGGATTAAAGGAAACAAAAATATTTTAAAACATGTAACAAAAAATAATAACCAAAAGTATAGGAAGAAGAAGAAATACTAAATAAGCATTTTCATTGATTAATTGATAATTTTTAACATATTCCAAATAATATTTGGAAAATACTTTTAGCATACCATGCTAATAACATGGAATGCATCACAAAACAACAACAAAAAACACAAACTATTACTCTTTACTCTTTTGGTTAACAAACTTTGAAGCCTTGGAAGCTGCTTTAGTATCACTACTTATAACAATCATGGTTCTTCATCTTGCTCCGTTAGAAGTTCCTCAAGCATGTCGAAGCAGTAAGTGAGAGGGTAAGAATCAAGGAGAAGACGTTTAACATAGTCTGCTCTGATTTCCCTTGTCAGACGTAGCATCAACAGGTTTGTCTCCGTCTTCAAGTTCTTCAACTTGTTCCTAACATCCTGGTACATGATGTTATGGTTGATGGTTGAACCATGTAGAGGTTCATCGACAATTTTCTTAATAGGGTTCTCAGAGAAATTTGAATTAGAAAAGATAATTTGGATGAATGAGATTAATAATGTATAGAGTTGTATTTATAGTATAATTTTTGAATATTTCTAGGATTAGGGTTAGGGTTTGTATCTTAAAATTTGAATCACAATCTTCAATGAACCCTTTATACTCCTCAAAAAAAGACTTTACATTCTTCAATGCATCCATTTAGTTTACCCAAAATTCTTTTCATGAGCTCTTCATCCAACCGTAAAAATATCTGGTTGGATAATGTTTTCTAGTACCTTCTTTTTGTAAATTTTTTTACTAAATTTCTATTAGACTATTTTTTTCTAGTAAATATTTTTCTTAATTTTCTCTTATCGAACTTATTAACATTCGAAATTTGCTTTAAGATCCAACTAATATTTAATGAGGACTTATATAAAGATAGATTAGTTCTTAAGAATAATAACTTAAACACATAATATTTGAAGTATGGTGCATTAAGGTACTACAATCAATAAAGAAAAATAAAATATTGGAGAGCAGGATTTAGATTTGTAGAAATAAAAAATTATCAAATGATTCTTTTTTTTCATTTGCTAAGTTTTTCAAAATAAAATTATCCGATATTACATTAGGTGTGACATCCTAATATATATATTTTTTGAATCCCTTTTTATGAATCCCTGGTTCTTCCACTTTTAATTTTCTTCATTTTATATGACAATATTTGCTTATCTGATACAAAAATTAAGAAAATATTTAATTTATAAATTATACATGTAAAATATTCTAATGAAAATTTTCAGTAAAATCACAAAAAAAATTCTCTTCTCCATTTCAAAAAAATTCGATTGGTAGGTTACCATTTAGCTTCTCATGCCAACTATTTAGCTTCTCAATGAAGCATTTATTATTCTCAACCGTTTTAGTAGTGTGTAGGTAGAATTAGGTTGAATTTGAAGTCTACGATTTTATTCTCAACCGGTTGGAAATATGTTGTTACAACATCATAATGTCTCTGATTAATATGGAAAAAAACAAATAAGCCGAATGAACAAATCCATAAAATTATAGAAGAAGAACTTAAGGTACAACCTTCAAATGGCTGTACATGAATTTCTGAAACCAAGCATTCTTGAAGAATTAATTTAAAAAAATAAAAATAAAAAATAGTCGTTGAAATTGATTTCATGCGTAAGAAATGAAAACTGTTATAGCAAATCAAAAGCACAAGTAGCATAACTAAATCAACAATAAAAGGTTAGAGATCATAAAGGGATAGAAAAATACAAAACACATCCTAAAAACGAATCAATTTCAACCGGATTATGATCATGAGTTCCTTCGCCCTTCACTTCAATATTGAAGTCAACATATAGTGATGAAACATCCACCAACATAAATTTGACGACGAAACCTCGCTTGACATAATTATCCAAAATAAAAAGTTTTCAGCCTTCTTTGAACCTTCTTCGATCACCAACGCTCATAGATACAAACCACTTTTTGACATGATAATGAAGAAGTGTAGTTTCAACTGTTGGAGGAAGATGTTTGTAGATTTTTCTTGGAATATACTGGGGAAAAAAATAATTTTATTAAGTTTTCGGAAAAGATAAAGCTTAAACACAAAAAATATATATACAACACTGATGCATAACCAGATCGTCGTAGTTGATGTATGAATCAGTCATAACCACTTCAAAAGTTGGAGGATTCTCTTCTTCATCCTCACTAGTAGAAGAGTAAGTTAGGGATCATTTGGTAGAGTGAGAGGCGTCCATAGTTAGTGTTTGTAGGAGAATGTGTTTTTAGATCTTTAGTGTTTGAGTACATGAGAGTATGAGATTATATATTAATAACACACCAACCCATTTAACTTCCCCATGGTACATTTACTCTTCCAATACATGATTACTAATCAATAAATTTCGGAGTTTTTTAATGATAAATAATTTTTTAAAAAAAATCTAGTAATATGAAGATTGAAATTTTATGCATAACATTTGAACAGAAAAAAGTACAACAACCATAACTAAAGCTTTGAATTTAACACAAACACATCCTAGTACCAAGTAAAAAATGAATTAGTACAAACAGGATATCTGTCTCCCTTCATGTCCACATTGAAGATAGCACGCAGTGGTGAAACATCAACCAACGTAAATTTGACGAAGAAACCTCGCCTGATAAAATTCTCTAATACAAAAAGTCGCCAGCCTACCTTGAACCTTTTTTGATCACCAACGCTCATAATTACATACCACTCTTTGCCACGATGGTGAAAATACGCATGTTCTAATCTTGAAGGAAGATTCTTGTAGATTTTTCTTGGAATATACTGAAAAAAGGAAAAAAAAACAATACTATTAAGTTTTTGGAAAATATAAAGCTTAAACACAAAAAATATATATAAAATAATTATGCATAACCAGATCGTCGTAGTCAATGCATGAATCAATCATAATCACTTTAAAAGTTGGAGGAATCTCTTCTTCAGTATCACTGCTAGTAGAAGAGTAAGATATGTCATCACTGCTAGTAGAAGAGTAAACTAGGGCTCGTTTGATTGACGGAGAGGCATCCATAGTTTAGGGTTTGAGTATGTGAGTTTTTTTAGGTCTTTAGGGTTTGAGTATGTGACCATATATATAGGGGCCAAGCCAGTCCAAAAATATATATCAAACAACCTCCTGATCAAAAAGGGTGTATTGCATGAATTTCTCAACACCGGGGACAACTTGATGATCGTCGGAGCTGCTAACTTCACAATGATACAATTTTCTTAGTTGTGTCTTGAAAAATTCATATACTATACGTGTATAACATTGAATTGCCTGCTCCTCCCACTTGAACATTTACTCGTACACAATTTGAAAGCCATTTGACCTGTATTCTGCTTCCAACTCTTTCTCATGCTTAGCTCTTATAGCTCACTCATACTGGTAAACAAACATCCTAAGAGTGCTTTGACGGGTAATATATCCATCAAAGAACGCATGCATCCCCTCACTTCTTTGCATAGATAGCATACCAGCCCAAAAATACACATCAAGGTACACATGATCCCATTTTTCCTTCTCAGAGTAAAGCTTGTTGAACCAATTCCTTGTATGTAAATTATACCTTGCAATATATTCTGTCCATTTTCTCTCAAAAACTTCAACAGTAATGCTATCAAGGACCATGGATTTAAATTCTCCATGTGCAATTTTAGAAGAACGAACACCACTTAAGTAAAGAGGCAACTTTGAGAATATATGCCAAATACAATACCTATGTATTGTATTTGGCATCACTTCAGCAATGACTACCTTAATGCTCTGACACTGATCAGCTATGACCGCATCTGGATGAACTTTTCCCATGGCATCAATCCAAGTTCTAAAAACTAATTTGTAACTATCGATGTCTTCATGAGACATGAGAGCACATCCTAGTAAGATGGACTGTCTATGGTGATTGATGCCAAAAAATGTAGCACATAGCATATTATATCGATTCACAAGGTACGTCGTACCAAAGCATATTGCATCTTGGATTTGCTCATACACTGCCTTAAAGTGTGAATGCACCCATACCACATTTCGCAGCCTACCAATATTATCAACATCTATTGAATAGAAAAACTCATTATCCTTTATCTGGATTTCACGAAAAAAGTTGAGTAGCGACTGTGCGTCCCCTTCTTGCATTTCAAAATTCCTACTTTTCAAAATATAATTTCTACAATCCTTTGGAGTACAACCCAAATTTTGCGGTCCACCACGTTGAACCTCAGCAAGTCTAATATTCTTGGAGGGTCTATTGCCAGATCGATCGTGAGCTACAAGATCCCTCTTCAAAGAATCACAAACAGACCTATGTCCAGCCATCAGGCGTAATACGGATGGGAGAAAATCATGATTGTGATCGTGAACGACCTTAGAGATGCGCCAATAATCAGAATCATCCAAAACAGCAACTAGCCTATCTTTACAATTGTTACTCTTGGTGGTAAACTTGATTTTGTGAATCCTAGCCCTATCACAATAGTGGGTTATATATCTAAAAGTGTCACTACCCTTCTTGTTGGAATTTCTTTTGACGACGGAGAATCCTCTCAGTCGTGCATGTTCTTTGTAGAATGCAAACAAAGTATCTTTATCTCTAAATCACATTCCAGAGATTGGACCTACAACTACATCCTTTTCAGTGAATTCATTCTCCATTTCCCGATCAACATCACATAATTCTAACTCATTTCCTAAAACTTCCTCCTCATCATCATTAGCTTCTCCATGATATTCTCCATCGGCTTCTTCATCATCATCATCATCTAAGTGCACAACATTGTTGAAACTTTCGTGAGAATCAACATCGACCCATTCGTATTCATTCAACAAACTATCGTCTGATGCCATCCCTAAAGATCTGTACAACTCGTCCCTAACTCGATCAAACCTATTATCTTGGTTGATATTCATAGTTGTTGTATTTGTGTTATGTTCATTTGGATTCATATTTTGTTGCACCGCCAAATTTTCTTGGTTTGAATCCCATTTTAGAGAAGGAGAAAGTGTCCGCTGGTTTAGGGCTTGGCAAGGAGGAAAGTGTCCACTGGTTTAGGGTTTGGTAAGAGGAAGTATACAAAATCGTATACCGTTTTTGTTTTTAAGAAAGGAAGAAAATACAATAATTTCTTAAAAATTAAAAAACGTATAATTTGTATAAAATACACATAAATACAAATATAATACACAAGACTCTTCATAAAAAGTGTCCGCTGGTTTAGGGTTTGGTAAGGAGGAAGTATACAAAATCGTATACCGTATTTGTTTTTAAGAAAGGAAGAAAATACAATAATTTCTTAAAAATTAAAAAACGTATAATTTGTATAAAATACACATAAATACAAATATAATACACAAGACTCTTCATCTCCCAACATTTAATTTTCGCATACTTCAAGACTTGGAATTTAATTTTGTATTTTGGAGGGAAAATGTAGGCTAATTAGTTAGAGGGTTTTTATGTCTTTTCACTGGTGTGGCCAAAGTTGGTCACACCAGTTGGACCGTTTAGCATCTCCCTAAAATTTAATGGGTTCACTCTTTAGGGTTTTAATACTATAAAATATTAGTAATTTCCTTACATATATTTTATTTTATGTGTAAAAAATATCGAGTTTAGCTAAATCCGGTAATTATGTACCCCATCCACCTCCGTATCGACGAGTTTGTGATAGGATAATTAAACTTTTTGATTCTGAATTAAAGGTTTCTGGTAAAGAGCACTCTATAGCGATATATAGAGAAGATAGAGAGAAGGTGGAAGTGGAGGAGAAGAACTTTACTCCATTTTCTGAATATTGAAATGTACAGTCTACCTATTTACATAGTACTTTTCACTACTTATAGGGATTAACTACTAACCACTATATTACTCCACTAATTAGTTATAACTAACTAACCATTAACTAATTCAACACTTTAAATATATAGGATCCACATTCCTCAACACTCCCCCTCAAGTTGGGGGATGAAATACATTCTTCATTCCTAGCTTGCTCAGTAAGTACTCATGTTGTGGTTTGCACAGTGCCTTAGTTAGTAAGTCTGCGATTTGCTCTGTTGTTTCAACATGCTACGTTTGAATTAGTCCTTGCACCAATTTCTCCCTTACAAAATGACAGTTAATATCTATATGCTTAGTCCTCTCGTGAAAGATAGGATGTGCAGCAATTTGAATAGCTGCTTTGCTATCACAGTGCAATGACACAACTAATTTGATATCCATGCACAGCTCTCTGAGTAGCCCAACTAGCCATACAATCTCAGCAACTGTGGTTGCCATACTTTGAAATTCTGCTTCAGTTGAGCTTCTGGACATTATTCCTTATTTTTGTTATTTCCAGGAGATTAGTGCACCACCAAACTTTACCACATATCCAGAAATTGATCTTTAGACTCCACACATGCTCCCTAATTAGAATCATAATAGGCCACAAGTTGATTGCAGCTACCAATAGGCATAAAGAGTCCAAGTCCTGGTGTAGACTTAATGTACCTTACCACTCTCTTTGCAGCTTCCATATGGGAAACTTTAGGTGCATGCATATATTGACTGAGCAATTGTACTACAAATGCTATGGTTGACCTTGTCATAGTTAGGTACAATAATCTAGCTATCAATCTCTAATAAATGCCTTTATCTTCAAGCAATATATCTTCAGATGCATTATTTCTTACTTCCTGATCAAACTTAACAAAAGTGAATTTATGATTGAACTCAAGAAGTGTACAGACTGGTTTTCCACCTGCTAGGCCAAGTTCAGAAACCAGTTCCAAGGCATACTTTCTTTGACACATCAAGACACCCTTTTGAGACCTTGAGAATTCAATCCCAAGAAAGTACTTCAATTCTCTCAAATCCTTCATCTTGAATCTTTCCTGTAATTCTTTTCTATCTTGTATGATAATAAGTAGACTATTGCCTGTGATCAGCAAGTCATCCACATATACTAGCACTATCACCAGTTCTGTTCCTATCTTTTTAGTGAAAAGAGAGTAATCATAATGGCTTTGCACAAACTTCATATCTAGGAGTGCTTTTGTCAGTTTGAGATTTTATTGTCTGGGTGCTTGCTTCATCCCATATATGGACTTGTGTAATTTGCACACTTTCTGATACTCTCCCTAACTTGAAAAGCCATCTAGAATGTGTATGTAAATGTCACGACCCGGATTTTCTACCGTCGGGATCGTGATGGCGCCTAACTCTTAGAATGCTACGCAAGCCAACAGATACAGTTCTAACATATTAATCCTTAACCAAAACAGTGATAAACAATAATTAAAACTAAATAGATATGAAGTGCGAAACTTTTATAACAGTTTAAAATACTAATACATGACTACCCCAAAGATCTGGTGTCACAATCTACAAATTTCTAAGAATTTTCTACAAACACTGGTTTAAAAGAAATACATCTATTCTCAAAATGAAAAGAGACAGGAAATCTAAGATAGAAGGAAGGGGACTCCAGGGTCTGCGAACGCCGGTAGATCTACCTTGGGTCTCCTGTGGACTGAAGGCAGCAACCCAACTCTAATAACGAAAATGTAATAACAGAAAATAACAATAACAGAAATGTAACAGACAATAATGGGAAAGGGAAAACATGCTGAGGGGACTATGAATATTCTGAAAGATAGTACGGTACAGGAACACAGTAAATATCATGCTTTGAACCAACAAAAATAATAACACAGCAATCATGAACACGACATCACCCTTTGTACTTTTACTCTCGTCCTTAACATAAGAAACAACAGAAACAGCATGACATCATCCTTCGTGTATTAACTCTCTCATAATCATGGCACGACATCACCCTTCATGTATTATCAATATCAAAATACGCACGACATCACCCTTCGTGCATTAACACTCTCAGAATATGGCACAACATCACCCTTCGTGCTTCATCACTCACTCACAAAACATTGCACGGTATCACCCTTCGTGTTTTATACTCTTCCTCACCTAAACAGTAGAAACAATAACAATCTAAGAAGGGAATCATCAATAAACAACCTCGTTCAACATTTCACTTCACAATATGAATCTCAACTTGAGTCAACACTCAACAATTATCCAATACCAAAAAAACATAATAAGACTTGTTTAACAAGAGTAATAACCAGTTAAGCATGAACAGTACGTATAAAAAAACACAACGGTCACAAGTATGAGACTCACTTGCATGCTATGACCCGACAATAACGTATGGATACTCGTCACCTCACATATACGTTGTACTCAATAACTAAACATGTCACAAATAAGGCAACAATACCTAATCCCACAAGCTAAGGTTAGCCACAACACTTACCTTGATTCCACGGCCAAAATCAAGCCCCAATTATCGTTTTACCTCTCGATTCCACCTACAATACACTCGTATCTAGTCATAATTAACTTAATAATATCAATTATCGCTAAAAAATCAATTACAATGCAAAATTACAAGTTTCCCAACATTTTCCCAAAAAAGTCAGAAAACTAACCCTAGGGTCGCTTGGTCAAAACTCGAAGTTCGGACCAAAACTCGATTACTCATTCACCCACAAGCCCGAATATACAATTGATTTTGGAATTCGACCTCAATTTGAGGTCTAAATCCCCAAATTTTTAAATTTCTAAATTCTACCCAAAAACACCAATTCCACCATGAAAAACCCTAGATTTTGTGATGAAATCCTGTAAATAGATCGAAAGAAGTAAGTTAAGAATCATTTAACTATGATTTGGGGGAAAATGGTCTTTGGAAAATCGCCTCTTGAAGTTTAGGGTTTGAAAATTTGAGAAATGAATCAAAAATCCCATCTAAACTCCTTTTGAACAGTTGCAGGTATCGCATTTGCAATCACGGGTTCGCAAATGCAGACATTACTTCGCAAATGGGAAGGTTGGCCTGGTCTGCTGGCATCGCAAATGCGAACAAATGTTTGCAAATGCGGCCCCTGTTCCAGTCACAATTGCGACTATGAGCTTAGCAAATGCGAAGGTCCCTTCCTAGCCTACTGATCGCAAATGCGAACCTTCTTCACAAATGCAATGCTCGCATTTGCGAGCCAGACTTTGCAAATGCGAAGTCTGCAGGCCTGCAACATACCAGAATTTTTTTTATGTTTCAAATCACTTTGTAGCCTATCCAAAATTCACCCAAGCTTTCGGTACTCCAAACTAAACATGTACACATGTATTAAAATATCATACGAACTTGCTCGTGTGATCGAATCGCCAAAATATCACTTAGAACTATGAATTCAATACCAAAACACATGAAATTTTCAAGATAGTTTCAAACTTTCTATTTTCTCAACCAAAGGTCCGAATCACGTCAAATCACTTCCGTTTTTCACCAAATTTCACATATAAGGTTTAAATATTATAATGGACCTCTACCGGGCTCAGAACCAAAATACAGGCCCGATACCAGCAAGTTTAAACATTATTCAATATCTAAAAACTATTATATTTCCAGTTTTAATAATTTTCTTCAAAAATTCATTTCTCGGGCTAGGGACCTCGAAATTTAATTCCGGGTATACGCCCAAGTCCCATATTTACTACGGACCCTCCAGGACCGTCAAAATACGAGTCCGGGTCCGTTTACTCAAAATATTGACCGAAGTCAACTTAAATCAATTTTAAAGGCAAAAACCTAGTATTTTCTCAAATTTTCACATAAAGGCTTTCCGAAAATGCCCGCAGACAGCGCATGAAAATCGAGGAGAAATAAAATGAGGTCTTGAAGGCCTCGAAACCCCGAATTGGTTTCTAAAATACGAGATGACCTTTTGGGTCATCACATTCTCAATCTCTACTACCAAGTCACCCTGCAAGAATGCATTATGCATATCCATATGGAAGGCATACCAACTGGAGGCAGCATCTATGGTAACTACAGCTATCACAG